CAACACCTGTTTCGACACGTCAAAGAACCAAATCTTGACGGGCCGCTGCGGGCGCTCCTTCCAGCGCTTGTACACGAGGACGAGCAGGGCCAGGCCACCGAGGGCCAGCTGCACGAGGAGGGCAAAGTTGCCGAGGAGCTCGCAGTCGCCCTCGGAGGGCTTGACGAGGGCGGCCACAGCGGCGGCGGCGTCGGTGGGTGTTGTTGATGTCGGTGTCGCCGTGGTTGCGGCGGCGACTGATGCGAGGGAGGCGACGATGGAGGACGGTGATACGAGGGTCGCTAACGCCGCGGCGACGGTTGTGGAGGCATCTTCAACGGCTATCGCGAAGCCTGCAGGGGGTGCCATCGGAGGGGATTCTTCGAGTAGGAATCTGTCGATCGAGAGGGCCAAGCGTCTGGGCGGATGAGGTATGTTTTGAGAGAAGCGGTGTCGAGAACGCGAGTTTGCCCAGGGTGACGTAGAAGGCTCCCAGCGGGGGAATGCAGTGAACGCCACTTGGGGAGTGGGTGTCGGGCGATGACAGCAACGTCAGATGGGCATGCCAATGGAAGTTCTGGATGAGTGGGAGAAGGTTCCGAAACGAAGACCAGCGCAGAGAATACGGAGAGGGAGTGAGGGAGAGAGAGAAATGGATGATGGTAGGAGAAGGAAGCGCAAAAAAAGGGTTGCAACAGTAATGCAGGTGAAGGAAAGTTACGTCTCGCCGGGGGGGGAGAGGGCAGATTGAATGTCAGCCACCGAGGCAGAAACGTAAGGAAATCACGATGTCGTCGCTTGCTTTCGCATGCATGGGCACAGCAGAGACGGTGGCAGGCAGAGACAGGCAAAGGCAAGTACGATGACCAGCAGAGTCGGGTCAGCAGAGAGCCTGGCAACCTGGGCATGGGCGGAGCTGCCACGCTCCATAGTTCAGATCTGCCACGCCCACGCCCCAGTCGAGGCCCCCCCCCCCCGTCTTAGTCACGTCTGGCGCTTGGCTGTTTGGCGTTAGCGGGGGGAGGGGGGGCAACTCAGGGGGGCCCGGCCGATGCGGTGCGCGGCTTCCGTGAGCCAGGCTCGGCTTATGGCTGTTCCTCGCGACCCTCGGGCTCCGTTGTGTCACAAGGTGACGGCAGCCTGGAATCAGACCTGGTCAACGGCGACAATCTCGCTGGGCACCGTGTCCTGCTGTGGCTACTAGTCCAAGGGCCGAACATGATGGTTCTTCTCCGTTGGACCCTGTTCACTGCGAATCGTGCACAGCAACCGGCACCATCGGCTCCTCAGGGGCAACCGTCTCGCCGCCTGCAGGTACATGGCTGAACGGCATTCCGCCTTGAGCCTAGGCTGCACTGCGAATGCGACCCTCTGAACACGAGGTGGCAGCAAACTGCATCGCCTGCTCGGAAGACGCATTCAGCCCTTGTATCTGTGCAAAAAAACAGAGAGTAAAAGTCTAGACGTTGCCTTTTGGATATCATAGCTGTGCCCCGAACCATACAATACACACGAGATAGCGTTATCGTAATACGCCAAGTCCGCCTACTAACGTTCATTCGTGACATGTCCCGCAGCGACAACCTCCACTTCATGTCTCCCCGGCCTGCTAGAGGGAACAACCCTCGAAAAAAAAAAAGAAATCTTAGGTCGCGCCTCATGCAATAACCAGATTGTCCAAGGCTGTCCTCGCCATCTCCACAATCTTCAGACAGTTCCGATCGTCCTTGCTGCCCGTCGGGCGGTGATTGTTCGGCAGCAGCGGGTTCCCCTGCATCGGGTGCGGCAGACCCGCGGCGACCATGGCATCGATCTGATCGTGCCGGTGGTTCGACCTCTCCTCCATGAGGCCAATGACGTCCTTGAGCCCAAGGTGGCGGTGCGTGACGCGCGACCCGTCGAGGATGGACGAGCAGTCAACGTCAAAGCCGTAAATGTCAATCTTGAGCACCGCCCGAATTGTCATGCGCCACTTGTCCGGCTCCATATCCTTGTTGTCGTACGTCTCGACCGTGCGGCACGTGAACTTGTCAATGGCCTCGAGCTCGCCCCAGAGGCCGCCGTACTCGACGAAGCGGAAGAGCAGCGTCTGTCCCTTCTCCTTGGCCTCGGCGGTGGCCTCGTCGACGAGCTCGAGGATGCGCACGTAGGCATTGACGACGGTCGGAATCAGCATGCCGAGGAGCATGGTGTTCTGGAAGGCCTGCATCGGCGCCTGCTTCGACGGGTCGTCAATGTAGGGGGTGCTACACGTCGGGCAGGTGATGAGATTGTGCGCCGTCTTGGCGGCGTTGCGTGCAGCGCGCATCGCGGCGCCAATGTCGTCGGGCAGCCTCGACAGCGAGTCGAGCGAGAGATAGATCTGGGAAAGACAGGCGCAGTTGATGTGGGGGATGGATCTGTGGGCAGGCTTGGGGCTGACGTCGGAGCTCGACGAGGAGGCCGGTGTTGTAGCTGATGAAGTCGAAGAATCGGAAGACTCAGGATTCGGCGTCTGGTTTTGTTGTTGAGAGGAATAGGGGGTG